TTGAGAAGCTAGGTGTAGTTGAGAAGCTAGGTGTAGTTGTGAAGCTAGGTGTAGTTGAGAAGCTAGGTGTAGTTGAGAAGCTAGGTGTAGTTGTGAAGCTAGGTGTAGTTGAAGTAGGTGTAGTTGGAAGCTAGGTGTAGTGTGGCTAGTTGTTGAGAAGCTAGGTGTAGTTGTGAAGCTAGGTGTAGTTGAGAAGCTAGGTGTTAGTTGTGAAGCTAGGTGTAGTTGAGAAGCTAGGTGTAGTTGAGAAGCATGTATTTGAAGCTATCCAGTTGTGAGCGACTTAGACTAGTGCTCAGTATGAACTGCTGAGTGCAGACTAGTGAGTTGAGCTGTTTAGTAAAACCTCGTCGTTTCGACCACTAGGTGTCCAGTGTAACTAGTCGAGAGAACTCAGGATGTTTGTAACTCTTACCTACTTTCTGAACATGGATTTCATCTGGACAGCAATCACCGTCAGTATGTTAGTAACTAGGCTGTATTGTACACTAGTGTTACTAGTTAGAGAGCCACTCGTTGTTTGAGCACTACTGATTAGACTATGTGTTGCGCTAGATTAGTTGTTAGTAACACCTCTGCTTTGAACATTGTTCTCTGTACGCAACACTTCCAGTATGTTTAGCTAACCGTCCTATTACTCAATTGTTCTAGGCAACCTTCAGTATGTTTAGCTAACACCCTGATCTATTTCACCATTGTTTCCTCTCACAGCACACTTCCAGTATGTTTAGTAACACCTCTACTTTCACCACTCTTGTTGCCTATCGCAACACTTCCAGTATGTTTAGCTAACACCTCTCAGCATTCCAGTATGTTAGTAACTACTCTCACAGCAACACCTTCCAGTATGTTTAGCTAACACCCTCTTTCACCATCTGTTTCCTCTCACAGCAACACCTTCCAGTATGTTAGCTAACCCCTCCTCCTTTCAACCATCGTTTCCTCTCACAGCAACACCTTCCAGTATGTTTAGCTAACACCCTCCTACTCTTTCCTCACAGCAAATTCGTAGTTGTAACACCTCTCACAGTCAACACTTCCATTGTTTAGCTAACCTCTCACAGCAACACCTTCCAGTATGTTTAGCTAACACCCTCCTCCTTTCACCATCTGTTTCCTCTCACAGCAACACCTTCCAGTATGTTTAGCTAACACCCTCCTCCTTTCACCATCTGTTTCCTCTCACAGCAACACCTTCCAGTATGTTTAGCTAACACCCTCCTACTTTCACCATCTGTTTCCTCTCACAGCAACACCTTCCAGTATGTTTAGCTAACCCCCTCTCACAGCAACACACCTTCCAGTATGTTTAGCTAACACCTCTCTTCACATTGTTTCCTCTCACAGCAACACTTCCAGTATGTTTAGCTAACACCCTCCTCCTTTCACCATCTGTTTCCTCTCACAGCAACACCTTCCAGTATGTTTAGCTAACACCCTCCCTTTCACCATCTGTTTCCTCTCACAGCAACACCTTCCAGTATGTTTAGCTAACACCCCTCCTCCACTCTTCACCATCGTATGTTAGCTACACCCTCTCACAGCAACACCTTCCAGTATGTTTAGCTAACACCCTCCTCCTTTCACCATCTGTTTCTCTCACAGCAACACCTTCCAGTATGTTTAGCTAACACCCTCCTCCTTTCACCATCTGTTTCCTCTCACAGCAACACCTTCCAGGTTTGTTTACTTCACCATCTGTCCTTCACAACACTTCCGTTGTTAGTCCTCTCACAGCAACACCTTCCAGTATGTTAGCTAACACCCTATCACAGCAACACCTTCCCGTATGTAGCTAACACCCCTATACAGCAACCCTTCCAGTATGTTTAGCTAACACCCCTACTCCTTTAACCATTGTTTCTCTCACAGCAACAACTTCCAGTATGTTTAGCTAACACCCTCCTCCTTTCACCATCTGTTCATCTCACAGCAACACCTCCAGTATGTTGAGTAACACACTCCCCTTTGCACCCATCTGTTTCCTCTCACAGCACACCTTCCAGTATGTTTAGCTAACACCCGAGCACAGCAACCCCTTCCAGTAGTTTAGCTAACACCTCCTCTTTCACACATCTGTGTCCTCTCACAGCAACACCTGCCAGTATGTTTAGATAACACCTCCTACTTTCACATCTGGTTCCTTCACAGCAACACCTTCAAGTAGTTTAGCTAACCCTCCTACTTTCTTACCATTGTTTCCTCTCTCACAGCAACACCTTTCCAGTATGTTTAGCGAACACCCTCCTGCCTTTCCACCAATCTGTTTTCCTCTCACAGCAACACCTTCCAGTATGTTTAGGCTTAAACAACCCTCCTCCTTTTCACCATCTGTTTCCTCTCACAGCAACACCTTCCAGTATGTTTAGCTAACCAACCCTCCTCACTTTCACCATCTGTTTCCTCTCACAGCAACACACCTGCCAGGGATGTTTAGCTAACACCCTCCTACTTTCACCATCTGTTTCCTCTCACAGCAACACCTTCCAGGAGGGTTTAGCTAACACCCTACTCCTTTCACCATCTGTTTCCTCTCACAGCAACACCTTCCAGGATGTTTAGCTAACACCTCCTCCTTTCACCATCTGTTCCTCTCACAGCAACACCTTCCAGTATGTTTAGCTAACACCCTCCTCCTTTCACCATCTGTTTCCTCTCACAGCAACACCTTCCAGTATGTTTAGCTAACACCCTCCTCCTTCACCATCTGTTTCCTCTCACAGCAACACCTTCCAGTATGTTTAGCTAACACCCTCCTACTTTCACCATCTGTTTCCTCTCACAGCAACACCTTCCAGTATGTTTAGCTAACACCCTCCTCCTTTCACCATCTGTTTCCTCTCACAGCAACACCTTCCAGTATGTTTAGCTAACACCCTCCTCCTTTCACCATCTGTTTCCTCTCACAGCAACACCTTCCAGTATGTTTAGCTAACACCCTCTCACAGCAACACCTTCCAGTATGTTTAGCTAACACCCTCCTACTTTCACCATCTGTTTCCTCTCACAGCAACACCTTCCAGTATGTTTAGCTAACACCCTCCTCCTTTCACCATCTGTTTCCTCTCACAGCAACACCTTCCAGTATGTTTAGCTAACACCCTCCTACTTTCACCATCTGTTTCCTCTCACAGCAACACCTTCCAGTATGTTTAGCTAACACCCTCCTCCTTTCACCATCTGTTTCCTCTCACAGCAACACCTTCCAGGATGTTTAGCTAACACCCTCCTACTTTCACCATCTGTTTCCTCTCACAGCAACACCTTCCAGGATGTTTAGCTAACACCCTCCTACTTTCACCATCTGTTTCCTCTCACAGCAACACCTTCCAGGATGTTTAGCTAACACCCTCCTCCTTTCACCATCTGTTTCCTCTCACAGCAACACCTTCCAGTATGTTTAGCTAACACCCTCCTACTTTCACCATCTGTTTCCTCTCACAGCAACACCTTCCAGTATGTTTAGCTAACACCCTCCTCCTTTCACCATCTGTTTCCTCTCACAGCAACACCTTCCAGTATGTTTAGCTAACACCCTCTCACAGCAACACCTTCCAGTATGTTTAGCTAACACCCTCCTACTTTCACCATCTGTTTCCTCTCACAGCAACACCTTCCAGTATGTTTAGCTAACACCCTCCTCCTTTCACCATCTGTTTCCTCTCACAGCAACACCTTCCAGTATGTTTAGCTAACACCCTCCTACTTTCACCATCTGTTTCCTCTCACAGCAACACCTTCCAGTATGTTTAGCTAACACCCTCCTACTTTCACCATCTGTTTCCTCTCACAGCAACACCTTCCAGTATGTTTAGCTAACACCCTCTCACAGCAACACCTTCCAGTATGTTTAGCTAACACCCTCCTCCTTTCACCATCTGTTTCCTCTCACAGCAACACCTTCCAGTATGTTTAGCTAACACCCTCTCACAGCAACACCTTCCAGTATGTTTAGCTAACACCCTCCTACTTTCACCATCTGTTTCCTCTCACAGCAACACCTTCCAGGATGTTTAGCTAACACCCTCCTACTTTCACCATCTGTTTCCTCTCACAGCAACACCTTCCAGAGCTTTAGCACATGTAAAACAATAAGACCTTCATTATAACCTTGTTTACAAAATGTAAATAACTGAGGAGAATGTATGAAGAATGACAACCACCTGTCATTGCAGTCTGCAGTTTCACAATAAAACATATTTTGCATCTTCAAAGTGGTAGGCATGTTGTGTAAATCAAATGATACAAACCCCCCAAAAATCTATTTGAATTCCAGGTTGTAAAGCAACAAAATAGGAAAAATGCCAAGGGGGGTGAATATTTTCGCAAGCCACTATACCTATCATTTACAGGTCCACTACATTACCTTGTATATACCTATCATTTACAGGTCCACTACATTACCCTGTATATACCTATCATTTACAGGTCCACTACATTACCTTGTATATACCTATCATTTACAGGTCCACTACATTACCTTGTATATACCTATCATTTACAGGTCCACTACATTACCCTGTATATACCTATAATTTACAGGTCCACTACATTACCCTGTATATACCTATCATTTACAGGTCCACTACATTACCTTGTATATATCTATCATTTACAGGTCCACTACATTACCTTGTATATACCTATCATTTACAGGTCCACTACATTACCTTGTATATACCTATCATTTACAGGTCCACTACATTACCCTGTATATACCTATCATTTACAGGTCCACTACATTACCCTGTATATACCTATCATTTACAGGTCCACTACATTACCTTGTATATACCTATCATTTACAGGTCCACTACATTACCTTGTATATACCTATCATTTACAGGTCCACTACATTACCTTGTATATACCTATCATTTACAGGTCCACTACATTACCTTGTATATACCTATCATTTACAGGTCCACTACATTACCTTGTATATACCTATCATTTACAGGTCCACTACATTACCTTGTATATACCTATCATTTACAGGTCCACTACATTACCCTGTATATACCTATCATTTACAGGTCCACTTCATCCTTCAGGAGGTGGTGATGGGGGGGATGGTGCTGGAGACCAACATGAATGAGATCGTGGGCCAGGTAGAGCTGCAGAACCGCATGGAGAAATCAGAGGTTAGTCTGTTCACTCACTGGTCCTGTGGTTAGTCTGGTCACTCACTGGTCCTGTGGTTAGTCTGGTCACTCACTGGTCCTGTGGTTAGTCTGGTCACTCACTGGTCCTGTGGTTAGTCTGGTCACTCACTGGTCACTCACTGGTCCTGTGGTTAGTCTGGTCACTCACTGGTCCTGTGGTTAGTCTGGTCACTCACTGGTCCTGTAGTTAGTCTTTCCTCTGTTAGTCTGGTGACTGGTCCTGTAGGTAGTCCTTCCTCTGTTAGTCTGGTCACTGGTCCTGTAGTGGTCCTGTCACATAATAAACAGCTTACCTGTAGTCCCCAGTCACATAATAAACAGCTTACCTGTAGTCCCCAGTCACATAATAAACAGCTTACCTGTAGTCCCCAGTCACATAATAAACAGCTTACCTGTAGTCCCCAGTCACATAATAAACAGCTTACATGTAGTCCCCAGTCACATAATAAACAGCTTACCTGTAGTCCCCAGTCACATAATAAACAGCTTACCTGTAGTCCCCAGTCACATAATAAACAGCTTACCTGTAGTCCCCAGTCACATAATAAACAGCTTACCTGTAGTCCCCAGTCACATAATAACAGCTACCTGTAGTCCCCAGTCAACATAATAAACAGCTTACCTGTAGTCCCCAGTCACGTAATAAACAGCTTACCTGTAGTCCCCAGTCACATAATAAAACAGCTTCCCTGTAGTCCCCAGTCCCATAATAAACAGCTTACTGTAGTCCCCAGTCACATAATAAACAGCTTACCTGTAGTCCCCAGTCACATAATAAACAGCTTACCTGTAGTCCCCCAGTCACATAATAAATACAGCTTACCTGTAGTCCCCCAGTCACATAATAAACAGCTTACCTGTAGTCCCCAGTCACATAATAAAACAGCTTACCTGTAGTCCCCAGCCACATAATAAAACAGCTTACCTGTAGTCCCCAGTCAATAATAAACAGCTTACCTGTAGTCCCCAGTCACATAATAAAAACAGCTTACCTGTAGTCCCCAGTCACATAATAAACAGCTTACTGAGTCCCCATCACATAATAAACAGCTTACCTGTAGTCCCCAGTCACATAATAAACAGCTTACCTGTAGTCCCCAGTCACATAATAAACAGCTTACCTGTAGTCCCCAGTCACATAATAAACAGCTTACCTGTAGTCCCCAGTCACATAATAAACAGCTTACCTGTAGTCCCCAGTCACATAATAAACAGCTTACCTGTAGTCCCCAGTCACATAATAAACAGCTTACCTGTAGTCCCCAGTCACATAATAAACAGCTTACCTGTAGTCCCCAGTCACATAATAAACAGCTTACCTGTAGTCCCCAGTCACATAATAAACAGCTTACCTGTAGTCCCCAGTCACATAATAAACAGCTTACCTGTAGTCCCCCAGTCCATAATAAACAGCTTACCTGTAGTCCCCAGTCACATAATAAACAGCTTACCTGGAGTCCCCAGTCACATAATAAACAGCTTACCTGTAGTCCCCAGTCACATAATAAACAGCTTCCCTGTAGTCCCCAGTCACATAATAAACAGCTTACCTGTAGTCCCCAGTCACAGGGTGTTTGTTTAGAAGCATTGACCAGAGACCGGAGCCTTGGGAGTCACTCCCTGTTGTGCAGCACGCGCCAGATGATCTAGTTACAGGATGGAATTCACAAATAAATATTGTGTGCCAGTAGTTCAAACAGACAGCTTAGTGCATTCAACATGTCAATACCTCTCACAAATACAAGAAGTGATGAAGTCAATCTCTCCTCTACTTTGAGCCAGGAGAGATTGACATGCATATTATTAATGTTAGCTTTCTGTGTACATCCAAGGGCCAGCCGTGCTGCCCTGTTCTGAGCCAAATGTAATTTTCCCAAGTCCCTCTATGTGGCATCTGACCACACGACTGAACAGTAGTCCAGGTGTGACCAAACTAGGGCCTGTAGGACCTGCCCTGTTGATAGTGTTGTTAAGAAGGCAGAGCAGCGCTTTATTATGGGCAGACTTCTCTCCATCTTAGCTACTGTTGTATCAATATGTTTTGACCATGACAGTTTACAATCCAGGGTTACTCCAAGCAGTTTAGTCTCCTCAACTTGCTCAATTTTCACATTATTTATTACAAAATTTAGTCGAGGTTTAGGGTTTAGTGAATGATTTGTCCCAAATACAATGCTTTTAGTTTAAATATTTAGGACTAACTTATTCCTTGCCACCCATTCTGAAACTAATTGCAGCTCTTTGTTAAGTGTTGCAGTGATTTCAGTCGCTGTAGTAGCTGACGTGTATAGTGTTGAGTCATCCGCATACATAGACACACTGGCTTTACTCAAAGCCAATGGCATGTCGTTAGTAAAGATTGAAAAAAGTAAGGGGCCTAGACAGCTGCCCTGGGGAATTCCTGATTCTACCTGGATTATGTTGGAGAGGCTTCCATTAAAGAACACCCTCTGTGTTCTGTTAGACAGGTAACTCTTTATCCACAATATAGCAGGGGGTGTAAAGCCATAACACATACGTTTTTCCAGCAGCAGACTATGATCGATAATGTCAAAAGCCTTATTGAAGGCTAACAAAACAGCCCCCACAATATTTGTATCATTAATTTCTCTCAGCAAATCATCAGTCATTTGTGTAAGTGCTGTGCTTGTTGAATGTCCTTCCCTATAAGCGTGCTGAAAGTCTGTCAATTTGTTTAGTGTAAAATAGCATTGTATCTGGTCAAACACCATTTTTTCCAAAAGTTTACTAAGGCTTGGTAACAGGCTGATTGGTCGGCTATTTGAGCCAGTAAAGGGGACTTTACTATTCTTGGATAGCGGAATGACTTTTGCTTCCCTCCAGGCCTGAGGGCACACACTTTCTAGTAGGCTTAAATTGAAGATATGGCAAATAGGAGTGGCAATATCGTCCGCTATTATCCTCAGTAATTTTCCATCCAAGATGTCAGACCACGATGGCGTTAGTCTTGACTCTAGAGGGCTTTAGGGCTGGGTCTTATTCATTAGTGAACACCGTAAGCTAAAACATTTGCAACGGAAAACAAGTCTTTATTGGACAGATTCAGGTTGTAGGTCTCTCCCTGTTTTGGCCTGTTTGCTTCCGTTCCTAGTGAATACGACCCTCGTCTCCCAGAGAGAGATGAAGCCTACTGGAGATTCTCCATTCAACAGGATTTCTAGTCCAGAACGAGCCCCTTAGTGTCTTCTCCCTATTACAGTTGATGAGTTCCTTTTACTGTGTTTACTGCATAGCTGGTGTAGAAATCCCTAAACCCGGAGGTCTGACTGATCCGTCTGTTTCAGGGGGGCTTCTCGGCGGCGCCGGCGCGGGCGGTCTCGGCGGTGAAGAACATGAACCTCCCAGAAATGCCTCGCAACATAAACATCGGAGACATCAATATCAAAGTGCCCAGCCTCTCTCCCTTCTGACCAGGGAACGGAGCACGGTCTAGGCCCAAATGGCACCCTGTTCCCTTTATAGTGCACTACTTTTGACCAGAGCCCTATGGGGGCTTCTGCCCTTCTGGTCTAAAGTAGTGCACTACACTATCTATTAGTGCACTATAAGATGTGAGAAACACTATGACTTATACAGTATGTCTATTCCTATGGGCCCTGGTCCATAGAAGTAGTGCACTATGTAGGGAATAGGGTGCCATTCTGGACTCCCAGCAGGCCTCAGCTGGCAGAGCAGCAAGGGAGGAGGAGGTTGACTGTATGTTGGACAGGGTTGGTTGTCACTATGCTGGGTTACTGATGTTTGGACCCTGGGGCTCCTCTCTGTTCAAAATGCTACAACTAAATAATACACCTCTGCTTCTCTATTGATGATAACACAACCAGCTCTGTCAGGACATTACCTCTCCTTCCTTCCTGTCAGGACATTACCCCTCCTTCCTTCCTTCCTTCCTTCCTGTCAGGACATTACCCCTCCTTCCTTCCTTCCTGTCAGGACATTACCCCTCCATCCTTCCTTCCTTCCTTCCTGTCAGGACATTACCCCTCCTTCCTTCCTATCAGGACATTACCCCTCCTTCCTTCCTGTCAGGACATTACCCCTCCTTCCTTCCTGTCAGGACATTACCCCTCCTTCCTTCCTTCCTTCCTATCAGGACATTACCCCTCCTTCCTTCCTGTCAGGACATTACCCCTCCTTCCTTCCTATCAGGACATTACCCCTCCTTCCTTCCTGTCAGGACATTACCCCTCCTTCCTTCCTGTCAGGACATTACCCCTCCTTCCTTCCTATCAGGACATTACCCCTCCTTCCTTCCTGTCAGGACATTACCCCTCCTTCCTTCCTGTCAGGACATTACCCCTCCTTCCTTCCTTCCTGTCAGGACATTACCCCTCCTTCCTTCCTTCCTGTCAGGACATTACCCCTCCTTCCTTCCTTCCTGTCAGGACATTACCCCTCCTTCCTTCCTGTCAGGACATTACCCCTCCTTCCTTCCTGTCAGGACATTACCCCTCCTTCCTTCCTACCTTCCTATCAGGACATTACCCCTCCTTCCTTCCTGTCAGGACATTACCCCTCCTTCCTTCCTATCAGGACATTACCCCTCCTTCCTTCCTGTCAGGACATTACCCCTCCTTCCTTCCTGTCAGGACATTACCCCTCCTTCCTTCCTATCAGGACATTACCCCTCCTTCCTTCCTGTCAGGACATTACCCCCTCCTTCCTTCCTGTCAGGACATTACCCCCTCCTTCCTTCCTTCCTGTCAGGACATTACCCCTCCTTCCTTCCTTCCTGTCAGGACATTACCCCTCCTTCCTTCCTTCCTGTCAGGACATTACCCCTCCTTCCTTCCTTCCTTCCTGTCAGGACATTACCCCTCCTTCCTTCCTTCCTTCCTGTCAGGACATTACCCCTCTTCCTTCCTTCCTTCCTGTCAGGACATTACCCCTCCTTCCTTCCTTCCTGTCAGGACATTACCCCTCCTTCCTTCCTTCCTGTCAGGACATTACCCCTCCTTCCTTCCTTCCTTCCTGTCAGGACATTACCCCTCCTTCCTTCCTCCCTGTCAGGACATTACCCCTCCATCCTTCCTTCCTGTCAGGACATTACCCCTCCATCCTTCCTTCCTGTCAGGACATTACCCCTCCATCCTTCCTTCCTGTCAGGACATTACCCCTCCTTCCTTCCTTCCTGTCAGGACATTACCCCTCCATCCTTCCTTCATGTCAGGACATTACCCCTACATCCTTCCTTCCTGTCAGGACATTACCCCTCCTTCCTTCCTTCCTGTCAGGACATTACCCCTCCTTCCTTCCTTCCTGTCAGGACATTACCCCTCCTTCCTTCCTGTCAGGACATTACCCCTCCTTCCTTCCTTCCTTCCTTCCTTCCTTCCTGTCAGGACATTACCCCTCCTTCCTTCCTTCCTTCCTTCCTGTCAGGACATTACCCCTCCTTCCTCCCTTCCTTCCTTCCTTCCTTCCTTCCTGTCAGGACATTACCCCTCCTTCCTTCCTTCCTGTCAGGACATTACCCCTCCTTCCTTCCTTCTTCCTTCCTGTCAGGACATTACCCCTCCTTCCTTCCTTCCTTCCTGTCAGGACATTACCCCTCCTTCCTTCCTTCCTTCCTGTCAGGACATTACCCCTCCTTCCTTCCTTCCTTCCTGTCAGGACATTACCCCTCCTTCCTTCCTTCCTGTCAGGACATTACCCCTCCTTCCTTCCTTCCTTCCTTCCTGTCAGGACATTACCCCTCCTTCCTTCCTTCCTGTCAGGACATTACCCCTCCTTCCTTCCTTCCTTCCTTCCTTCCTTCCTTCCTTCCTTCCTTCCTTCCTTCCTTCCTTCCTTCCTTCCTTCCTTCCTTCCTTCCTTCCTTCCTTCCTTCCTTACTGTCAGGACATTACCCCTCCATCCTTCCTTCCTTCCTGTCAGGACATTACCCCTCCTTCCTTCCTTCCTGTACTCATTATTGTTATTCACTGTGTGTTTATTCCTCGTCACTGATCTCATCTTTCCCCCTTTATTGTATCTGTTGAAAACATTTCCCTGTTAGTCTCCACCTGTTGTTACCAAGTATGTGACAAATACAATGTGATTAGATTTCTCCTCATGGGAGATGTGTAGCACTGCTGACAGCGTAGTTTAGTTTTCCTGTACGTGTGAAATGACAGATTTCTCCAGTTTAGTGATTTGCACCAGATATTACTGGGATGTTGCTGTTGATCCTGATGGGCGGTAATAATGACATGTTATTGGAGCTGCATTTTGGTTTGAACGTTGTGCTTTTTCTTGATCAGTGTCAGATTAGTCTTTCCTTTGGTCTGTAATGAAAACACAGTCTACGTCCTAAATAGTAGTGCACTAGGTAGGGAATACCTGGTCGATAGTAGTGCACTAGGTAGGGAATACCTGGTCGATAGTAGTGCACTAGGTAGGGAATACCTGGTCGATAGTAGTGCACTAGGTAGGGAATACCTGGTCGATAGTAGTGCACTAGGTAGGGAATACCTGGTCGATAGTAGTGCACTAGGTAGGGAATACCTGGTCGATAGTAGTGCACTAGGTAGGGAATACCTGGTCGATAGTAGTGCACTAGGTAGGGAATACCTGGTAGATAGTAGTGCACTAGGTAGGGAATACCTGGTAGATAGTAGTGCACTAGGTAGGGAATACCTGGTCGATAGTAGTGCACTAGGTAGGGAATACCTGGTCGATAGTAGTGCACTAGGTAGGGAATACCTGGTCAATAGTAGTGCACTAGGTAGGGAATACCTGGTCGATAGTAGTGCACTAGGACTAGGGAATACCTGGTCGATAGTAGTGCACTAGGTAGGGAATAGAATGGTTTTTGTCTTTCCATTCTTGTGCATTTTTCCATGTGGAACACATGTTACAAATATGTTGTTTTTGTGTGTTTAATCATTGTTTTCATGGGTCCAAAGTGTGTTCACTGAACATGTGTATGTGAATGTGTTTGACTTGGTCGAGCTCTGGACTATTGGCGGGTCAAAGAAATGTAGTGTGGTCTTGCTTTAAGTTATAACCTCTTATTTGTAATCAGAATAGATTTGTTTGGTATCATATCCAGTCATATTTAATAGGTGGTTTCTGGTGTAGACCAACAGCTGTCATCAGGAAGACCGACAATCCAGTTATTCAGGGTCGGCAGGGATCAGAGGAGAAACAGGCCTCAATATTGAATGAACATGATTCTGTTGTTTGGATGCAACCATCTCAAGCTTTTATCAAAGACTGCTGTTATCCAGAACGTTCTAATGGTGAAAATATGTCCATGTTTTAAGTGTAACTACTGCATTCCCTCAGAACACGACAAAATAAAAGGTTAAGAGGAAACTTGTATTCTTGACTGTGTTTTTTTGCCTTTTCCAAGGAGACTGTCTGTACGTTAGCACCAGCAAACAGTCATCTCTTACCAGCCGACCACAGAACGTTAGTCACAAGTCTGTGGCTTGCGCCCCAAATGAAACCCTATTCCCTATATAGTGCACTACTTTTGACCTAAAGGCACATAAAGCTTTGGTCAAAAGTAGTGCACTATATAGGGAATAGGGTTTCATTTGGGAGGCATCCTGTGGTCAGTACTGATCATGTGAAGTCCTGCCCTAACCCCGCCTTGCTGTGCTGTCAAATAGAATTCTAGCCTTGTTGCACAAATCTGTACATGTTGAAGCACCAAGCATCTCCTGTCTGCCGTGGGCTCCTTTCTTCCCATCGGGTCCCAAGAACTCAACCACACCACAGTGAGTTACCAGCTCCTTTCTTCCCATCGGGTCCCAAGAACTCAACCACACCACAGTGAGTTACCAGCTCCTTTCTTCCCATCGGGTCCCAAGAACTCAACCACACCACAGTGAGTTACCAGCTCCTTTCTTCCCATCGGGTCCCAAGAACTCAACCACACCACAGTGAGTTACCAGCTTCTTTCTTCCCATCGGGTCCCAAGAACTCAACCACACCACAGTGAGTTACCAGTTCCTTTCTTCCCATCGGGTCCCAAGAACTCAACCACACCACAGTGAGTTACCAGCTTCTTTCTTCCCATCGGGTCCCAAGAACTCAACCACACCACAGTGAGTTACCAGCTTCTTTCTGATCCGGACACACACACACACATTCCTCCCGTCCAACCCGTCCTGGAGGATTCAGGGTGAACAGACACATTCCTCCCGTCCAACCCGTCCTGTAGCATTCAGGGTGGGTTTTTGGAAATGGCTTTTTCCTCTTCCCTCTGACAGCTGTTTCCCATCTAGTTGAGTTGTAGCAGGAAAACCTGGGCTATTCCCCACCTCGCCTGACACTTGGGATCTGAATCAGTCTGTCTGTGTGTTTCTTCACATCAGTCTGTCCGTGATCATCTGGGCACTCAGTCGACATCAGTTACTACCTGGTATGTACTGTGTTTTGTCTTTCTACTCTTCTAGTATGATAGTACAACTCGTTATGGCTCTGGATCTGTATCTGAGGGCTGAGTTACTCCACATATGGGCCTCTGATGGCGAGGCTTGTTCTGGGGGTTGTTTAAAGAATACGGCTAAGAGATGAATGTAGCTTTAGCAACATGTCTGGTTCATTCGGAGTGATCTGTAGCTTTAGCAACATGTCGGTTTCGGGGGTTTTGGTTAAAAAATTTTTTCTTTGGGGAAAAAAAGCCCGTTGGGTTTTCATGTCTGGGGCTTTAAACAAATTTCCGGTTCCGAGGCTGTAGCTTTGCAACATTTTGGGGTTTGGGGGGGGAGCAAAGGGCCCGGGGGGGAGTAGGGGGAAAAAGGGGGGCCCGAGGAGGCTTTAAAGGGAGGAGGATTTTTGCAGCAAGTGGGGTTCATTGAGGCTGAGCTTTAGCAACAGGGAGGGGAACCCCAAATTTTGGTTTTTGGAGAGTAGTTTTGGCAACAGTTGGTTCTTTAGAGGACGGCTTTAAAACAGGGTTTCATTCGGGGGGATTTAGCTTTAGAAAGTCGGTTTTCAGAGGGTACGGGACGGGGATAGAGGGGGGAGAACATTTTGGGGTTTCGGGTGTCTGGCTTAGCAACATGTCGGTTCATTGGACGATCGAAAGCGTTAGAGGGGTTGTAGTTTTGTTTTGCTGCTGAGGAAAACCCCAGGTGTTGTAGTTATAGAAAAGTCCCCCCCTGAACTGAAACCCCCCAACAGGCGGAAACCAGGCCCGGAAAACCTCCAAGCACACGAAGGCCCCCCCCCGGGGGGCCCCCCCCCCCCCCGGGGGGCCCCCCCCCCCCCTTTTTTTTTTTTTTGGGGGGGCCCCCCCCGGGCCCCCCCCCCCCGGGGGCGCCCCCCCCCCCCCTCTTCTTCTGTCCCCCCCCCCCTTCTTCTCTTTGTTCTCTCCCCCTCTTTTTGCTCTTCTGTCCCCCCCCCTCTTCTTGTCTCTGTCTCCCCCCCTTCTTCTGTCTCTCTTCTGTTCTCTCCCCCCTCTTCTCTTCTCGTCTCCTCTCTCTCTCTTCTCTGTCTCCCCCCCCACCCCTCCCCCTCTCTTTTTCTCCCCCCCCCCCCCCCCCCCCCCCCCCCCCCCCCCTTTTTTTTTTTCTCTTCTCCCCCCTTGTTCTCCCCCCTTTTTTTCTGTCTCCTCCCCCTTTCTCCCCCTCTCGTTTGTTTTCCCCCTCTCTCTCCTCTCTCTTTGTTTTTCCGCTGCTCCTCTTTTCCCCCTTTTCTCTGTCCCCTTTGTCTCGCTCTGTTTCGCTTGTCTCGCTCTGTCTCGCCTGTCTCGCTCGTCTCGTTGTCTCTCTTGTTCGCCTCTTTTTCCCCCCCCCCCTCTCTCGCTTGTTTTCTAAGGTGTGAGAGGAGAGGGAGGATGCTACAGCCACCCATGTTTACATCTCCCATATACCCCCCCTTTTTTGGGTTTAACCACCCTTTTCAAGGAATTAAACCCCCCTCCTTTCCCTTTCCCTGTAATCATTATGTTATTCACGTGTTTTTTATTCCCTGCCCCTTCTCATCTTTCCCCTTTATTGTATCTGTTAAAAACTTTCCCTTTTAGTCTCCACTGTTTTTTTCCAAGTAGTGACAAATAAAATGTGTTAGTTTTCCCTCCCAGGGGATGGTAGCCTGCTGACACGTATTTTTTATTTTTCCTGTACGTGTGAAATGACGATTTTATTTTGGGATTTGCACCAGAATTACTGGATGTTTGTGTTTTCCCTGAGGGGCGGAATAAACATTTAGGGAGCGCTTTTTGGTTTGAACTGGGCTTTTCTTGATCATGTCGATTAGTTTTTCCTTGGGCTGTAATGAAAACACAGCTACCCCAAAAATGTTGCACTATAGGGAATCCCGGGTCGATAGTAGTGCACAGGGGGGAAAATCCTGGTCGATAGTAGCATGGGTGGGATCCGGCCTATAGTGCACTAGGTGGGGAATACCTGGTCGTAGAGTGACTGGGTGGGGATCCCTGTCGAATATGCCTAGGTAGGGAATACCTTTTCGAAAGTAGTGCATGGGTGGGGAATACCGGGCGATAGTAGGGGCACTAGGTAGGAAACCGGTTAGAAGAGTGCACTAGGTGGGAAACCCTGTAGATGAGTCCTAGGAGGGAATACCTGGTCGATTAGTGCACTGGGTAGGAATACCTGGTCGATGTATGCACTAGGTGGGAATCCCGGTAAATGTGTGCACTAGTAGGGAATACCTGGTCGATAGGGCACTAGGACTAGGAAACCCTGGTCGATAGTATGCATAGGTAGGGAAATAAAGGGGGTTTTTGTTTTTCCATTTGTGCTTTTTTCCATGTGAACCATGTTACAAATATTTTTTTTTTTGTGTGTTTAATCATTTTTTTCAGGGTCCAAAGTGTGTTCACTAACATTGTAGTGAAGGGTTTTTTGACTTGGTCGGTGGACAAATTGGCGGGTAAAAGAAAATTAGTTGGCTTGTTTTTAATTTATACTCTTTTTTGAAATCAGAATAGATTTGTTTGGTACCCTTCCATCATTTTTAAAATGGGGGGTTTCTGGTGTGAAAAAACCCTGTCTCAGGAAACCGAAAACCAGTTATTCAGGGTCGGCAGGGATCAAAAAAGGGGGAAACGGGCCCCAAAATTGAATGAACATGATTCTGTGTTTGGATGCAACCATCCAAGCTTTTATCAAAGACTGTGTTCCCCAACGTTCCTAATGGTGAAAAATAGTCCTTT